CTTGGGTGATCTTAATGGCGTGACTCCTACTGCAGATCTGGGACGTTGCTCGGGCACTCCTTTGCTGGTTGGTCGAAACAAATCAACAGCTTTTGGATGGCTTAGAGATGAGTTTGTTACTCGGGTTCGTGGATGGACAAAGAATATATTATCCTTTAATGGTCGAGCAGTGTATATTTAGTCAGATCGACCAGTCTATCGCTACATACATTATGGGTTGTTCCCTTCTTCCGGATGGGATTATTTCAGATATGGAGAGCATTCTCCGCTCGTATTGGCGGGTAGGCAGTCCTAATAGGAAAGGATGGTCGATGCTCGCATGGAAGAATATATGCAAACCGAAGCGTCTTGGAGGTCTCGAGTTTCAGAATTTTCGTTAATTTAACATCTCCTTCTCGGTAAGCAAGTGTGGCGGTGCCTCAATTATCCGAACTGTTTAATGGCAAGAGTGCTCGGGGACAAATATTTTACGCTTGGAGATATTCTCTTAGTAATGGCAACGGGGCCGGTTTTGCTCTCCCGTCCTCGTCTCCGAAATAAATCCCCGTCCCTGCCCCGTTCTCCATCGGGGATTTTTTTACCCCGTCCCCGAACCCGATCCAAAATATTGCACTCAAACCCGAACCCGAACCCAAAATGTTTTGTTTGTATTATATATAATTAATATATAAAATATATAAAATATTATATATATATATATATATATATATATATATATATATAATCGGGGCGGGGCGGGGATACCTGAACCCGAATCCGAAAAAATCCTCGAATTTTACCCCGATTACCTGACCCGATATTATTCAAACCGACCCGACCCGAACTTAGTCGGGTTTCGGGTTTCCCCATCGGGTTCAGGTCGTTCTGCCGTTCCTATATTCTCTTCGTTCAACTCGGTGATCGACATCCTTTGCTTTGGTAAGGCATGTTCTCGGCCATGCTTTCTCTGAGAGGAAATTTCATGTTTAGTTTCTTATGTAACGGAGGTTTGAATCTTTTTTGTCACAATTTGCTTTTCTTTGTTTTCTTTCAACCAGAGGGTGACATATGTCACTCTTTGGTTGGTAGAAATAAATATATATTAAATTAAAATAAAGTTAGTCATCTAACCGAATTGTTACACATGACATGACATGTGACATCATTCAATTGAAGGATTGATTTTATTTTAATTTGTTAAAAGTATGACTAAATTGTGAGAATATGTAAATAACAAGGACCAAATGCGTGATTCTATCAAAATATTTAACTTTTATTAACAGCGGTTAACTCGAGGTGACCACGTCTTAATCAAATAAAAACGAAAGGGACAATTTCTTATGTATTTTAAAATCATTGACCAAAGATTGACAAAACACAAACATAAGTGATTATATGTGTAATTAACCATTTAATTTAAATTTGGGTACTCTTTTCTCCTCCTGATGTCTTGATTCGAGCTTGATTCGATGAAATTATAAGTGAGTTTTTAACAAGTAATAATCTTTCAAAAAAAAATGTGAAGCTCGCTTACACTTTATTTAAAATAGAAATGTATGAGATTTTTAACTCTTAACGTTTTACAATTCTTTTCAATTTGGTCCCTAAATCAAATTCCAGTTCACAATACTCTTGTATTTAGAAGTATTTCTATTATTTTAGTTACATGTCACCTTGATATGGTTTTGTGGGGTAGGAGTGTTCAAAAATACTCAATCCGGATGATCTGGCCTATCGATCCGTTAACCCAAATCTAAAAAAACCGGGTAATTTTTTTAAAAAATTACACGATCTGGCCTGGTATCTAACATGTTAATATTGGGCGCTACCTAAAATGTTATTTTTTCTATTGGAAATTAGGTAACGAAATTAACATTTCCGGTAAAAAATAATGTTTTAGGTAGCGCTTTACATTTTAGAATACAACGTTTCATTTTAAGTGAAAAAGACTCTTTATTTTAGAGTGTTAATAATGTGTTAACTAATATTTTTCGTTTGCAGAGAGCTTTTTACTCCAAAATAAAACATTCAGGTCAAAATGCTTCAAAATAAAAAAATCAAAATGATCATTTTGTAACTTTATCTATATTAGCAGCTATCGATGATTTTGATAATCCTTATTAAAAGATGATTTTACCGAAATCAGAAACATTTGAAAAAAATTGACAATTATTATACAAAATACATCTTTTTTTCTAAAGGATTAAGGATATTTTGTTCATGTAGTAGACCTAATTTATCATTTCCGTTCTTATGGTATTTTTTGCTTTAATTTAGTCCTCAAAGCTATTTAATCGCATCATCTTATACTCTATCCCTAACTTAAAAACCTAAACACTAAATTTTAACCCCTAAACTCTATACCATAAACCTTAACTTAAAACCTTAATTACAACGGTAAATATTTTAAACATTGATGCAATTGAACAACTTCGAGACTAAATTGATGCGAAAATATCATAGCGGCGAAAATAATAAATTGGATCTACACAATGACAAAAGTGACCCTTAAGTTTTTTTTTTAAAAAAAATCAAGAACTTAATTTTACCGATTTTGTTTAATTCACACACACTCAATTTTTTTGAACAATGACAACTGAATTTTATTAATAATGGAATGAATCAAAATTATAACACATCAAAATATAGAGAGAAATTTGAAGACACTATTCACCAAAATACTCATACAAAAGTAAAATATTAAACCTAAAGATACAAAGAAAAATAAAATCTTCCATTGAGAATGACGACCGACATCAAAACTCAGTAACTTTCATAAAAACTTCTTGTCTCCGTCGAATGAGACGTTTTACGCAGTGATAAAGGAGTGGTGAGCGAACCAAACAATATGGCAGGCTGCTTCGCTACACAATTCTGATTACATTGGCAAACGACCTTTTACCAAAAGAGTGGATCTGACTATACATGACCGCCGACAAACCAATCAGAAAATAAATGTCGTGATGGTTTTTTTGCGAGAACCAAAACGACTGCACATGTATTAGAAAAATGTATCAAAAACCATAAGGATCATATCACAAGAACAGAGAAAACGCATGCACAAGATATTATTATTCAAAATTAAAAAGACTTAAAAGAAGAAGAAAAAGATGTTGAACCACAAGCTTTACTCACGATATATTAAACTTCCTATATTTGACCTAATAGATGATGGCATATATACGAGGATAAAACTATATTTTTAATCCATTATTTTGATAATTTTAAAATTTGACCCTTGATTTTTTTATTTATTTATAATAATAGTTGAATATGATCTTTTTGATTGCATAATACTCTGAGAGCGTGTCATGGACTAAAAATAGGCCAAAATCCGATTTCAAGATTAGTGTGGACCAAAAATGCAAGGATCTAATTAAGAAAAAATGACAAATTGAGGGAGCAAAAGTCCATTATCCCTATCTATCTATATATATTATCATGCATTGGTTTCATCGTTGGCAGAAACGGGTCGGATTTGTGTGGATTCTTTTTGTTATTTGGTAGTGAGAAGTCAAATGCTCTAATTATGTACTATGAGAGAAAATCTGAGTAATAAAAGAATTTGAAAACAGCAACAAAACGTACTAGAGAGATGCGTTTTGTCGTGTATGCGATGTCGTTTAGGACACAAAAGGTCGGCTTCTGTTTGGAATTTTTATGGCGAACTTTGATCAACACAGTTCTGAATATTATTGAGCATAATATTCATGATTCATGGAAGTGGCGAAATATGTATTCAGATTCGATTCGGTGAAAGTTTAATCGATATTTAAATCGAATAGACTTAACTTGAATTTAAATTTAATTTGAATTCGAAATGAACTATTTGAGATCCGATTTAAAAAAAAAAATCGCGGATAATTAAGAAAACAATATATTAATTTCTTTTAAACCATAATTTCAGTGGTTTCATCTTGTTCTATAAAAATATTATTGGAATATGTGAAAAGTATATACATATTATCATATGTAAGTCTGACCTTCCCCACATATGTGAAAAGTACATACATATTATTATATATAAGTCTGCGCTCATTTTCTTCTGCAGACATAGACCTGCTTGCTAATGAACTCGACCTCAATAGGGCTAACATTCTTCCCAATGCTCCTAAAGTTCTGCCCAACGCCTTGTTTGTCGACCAGGGTTCACTTTCTCAGGGTACACACCATCTTTGGGGTGCAAATATTGGACCTCCCCATTAGGGAATACCCTATAGCATTGGTACTTGATCTTGTATTGGACCTTAGCCTAGTCCCCAGAGCCAAGCATTGCTCTTTCCTAGCCAGCTTGAGGAGGTTCAGACCTTGGCTCATGATCGCCACACCACCCGTCGGCATCTCGAATATTTGTTCCTTGGGTGACTCCCATGTGATCACATAGAACTCTTCTGCTTGTGCCTTACGTAAACTGTGCTGCCCCTGAAGATCGGTGACGGAGTTTTCGGGCCTAGCTTGGGTGGGGTGAAGCCGACCGGGGCTTCCTTTGTCACAGCCGTCGACTTGGATTTCTCTTTGGTTGCTTTGGCCTTGATGATGGTCTTCGGGGATTTGAAGGTGGGGAGTTTTATGAGTGGTGATTGCTTCCATGGCACAGAGACTTGGTTGCCGGTTTTCAGAGCACGGAAGGGTGTGAGAGTGAAGAGGGAGGCTTAGGTATTTGATGAGTTTAAATTGTTGACTTTTTATGATTGAATCACATATTATGCCATTTTAGGTTTCGATTTATTGGACTTGTTTCCGAGTTCGAATCAAAATTGACAAGTCTATTTGGAAGTGACAATTCGAATTGCAGATTTAGCTTTTATGAACTCGAATATTAAAAATACTACTATCTCGAATTCAGCACGGATGCGGATACACACCCCTAAACATTATTATATCTTCGTTGCTTCATTCTCGAATGGCCAATGCTTAATGTCATGGACAAGACTCTAAGAACTCGGAATCTCTAAACAAGCAAAATCCATGTCATGGATAAAAGCATTGCGTGCTCCACAAGAAAGGTTGAAAGGAAAAGGAAAAGAAAAACAGTTGTTTCCATTGATTTTCAATCACCAAACAAATAATCAGTGATCATCTATTTCTGTGGAGAGCTAAAGTTTTGTCACTATGACTATATGTACAAAGCACCAAATGGCATGGTAAAGCAATGGTAATGAGGTAGGGAGAATAATTTACAGCTGATATACCGGGTTTTACTTTTCACGAGTGCTGCTGTCGCTGGGGCCTATCTTTAATATAAAAGGCCGGTGAAGATCCAGAGGTTCTTCGGCAGAAACCGGCAATTCCGGCGTTGAGCCTACAATGCCATCTACATCCTCACCTTCAGCCAATGCTTTGTCCAGAGCCGTTTTCGCGACTTTAGTCACACAAACCATTAAAACCACTGCATATAATATTATCACATAAGATTCCATCTCATTTTCTTAAAACTTGATTACAAAAATATAGTGAATATAGGTTATTCGGGTCGGTATGTGCCTCCCCCAAATGGGCTTGGAAAAAGGACTTCTAGAAATTCTAGGACACGCCCGACTCAATCTGGCACATGGATACCTCCACTGAATATGCATCATGGATTTGAAAAACAATCATGAATGGTTTTATACGTGTTTTATCACACAGCTTGCACTAATTCGAAATCCAAGTTTGCATGCATTCACAAATGGTTGCTACTTACCGGATGCAACAAGGCTCAACATGAGAAATGCCTGCATTCATAAAAAAAGTAAAACATGGATAAGAATACATAACAAAAATGACATGAAGCAAGTTGAGTATATCTTTATTATCCTAATCGAGATCGCCAAATACTAACACGAAAAATGTACCAAGGTTCATTTCGATGTCTGTCAAAGGAAAGAGTCCCTACAGAAAAGTAACTAGAAGTAATTTTCCTGGCTTCAAATATACCTCACTCCAAATCTTTCTAAATAAAAGAAAAAAAAGGTGACATGGTATATAAACTATAAAGAATAGCATAACATACCCAATGAGAGGTTGAAAACTCATTCCATCCATGTGTCACATCAGAAAGATCCTTAACTGTTGTTCCGACGTAAACTAAAGCAAGAGTTATTGGCTGTAACAAAACATGAATCTCGATGTTGAATCCCAAGTATAACAAAATACCGTAAACAAATATTATTGGAAAGAATGTTAGGAAGGTTATATAGATGCAGTACCACCATCCCTAACCAAGAGGCCAGCATGTATTCTCCAAATGAGATGGGGGTCACAGACAACAGATAATTCAACACACTGAAAGGCACTAAAGGCGCAAGTCGAAGCAGCAAAACAATCTGTCCAATAACAGAAGAAGGAAGTTTAGAAATCTGATACAAATTTCAGCGGTTAATGAAACAATCAATCCGAATAGCTGGACCTCCTATCTTGGGAGTTGTAATGTTAAAAAAAACTTGGTAAAAAAGTGTTGTCATAGAGACCATCAACGAAAACATAAATAATGTCATCGGACTGTGACAATACTTTCGGACCAAGTATTTTTAATGTCTACTGTCGTATATTCAGCCTTTTTAATCAGACTGCTGTTATCAGTTCCAAACATATGAAAAAACAGAAAAGAGAATAACTCTCTTTTTCAGAAAACACTCCGTTATAAAATTTACACGTAGCATAAGTGTTAATACTCATGTAACCAAATATAGCGTAAGCGTTATTTACACCAAAAACCAACAAATCATATAAATTTAGGAAATGCTAGGTGGTGCCTTAAAACAAGGCCTTTATACAACTTATATACCAGGAATCATCTTTAAAAATTAATATGAAGCATGCAAACCTTGAAGCCAGATCTTTGTATTGCAATTGCTGCTAACCTGAACTGAGGATAATCTCTCAGCTTTGAAAGAACCAAAGATTTCCCAATCTGTACAAGAGCATCACAATTCTAATAAGATGAAAACTAAATAAGACACACCAAAATTAATTAAAAAGGGAAGAAATACAAAGCAGGATAAGAAGATTAGTGAAAAGAGATATTTAACAAATCAATGAGTTGTTTTTTTCCAATGAAAGGTAAAGCGGTAAGTTACACTGAGAGTTCCATAAGAAATCAATGAGCGTACTGTTTTGCCTAGAAGGAATGCTGCTCCTGCACCAAGAGTTGAACCAATAGAATCTGCAATGAAGCCCACAGGCAATCCAAAAAGATAACCACCACCGAGCTGAAGGATAAAACACAATGCCTTGTGATGTTAAAACCTTATTTATTTCTCATTTAAAGTTTGGAAGGAGATTTTTCAATGCAGAGGAACATGGCAGAGTAAAATACGTCAAAATACAAGAAGAAATCACATAAGAAATGTCACAAATAAATAAGAAAACAAGTTAAAAGATCAAAGGGATAGTTTAATTTACATTGATTGTAACAATGCAAGTCGAACATAATTCAAAGGTTACTTTCCTCTAATTAATGAGTACAAAATTATAAGGTGAGAAATGTTGCTCTTTTAATTGTCCAATAGGTAGAATAGGTTTTAACAAGTGTCAACTTAACAATTAGTTATCAGATTCAGATACTTAGAGATGGCACTAAACCGGGTTTATTAACAGGTAACTATAGCATGTTGATCAAAGGCTGCCCAAAAGAGCCGCACATAATAATGTGCATAAACAATTAACTGGAATTAGAACATGCTTTGCATCCAAAATTAGTAGATAAAGATAATTTACACCGCTTGAAGCATTGGACACCATGTCCACTGCACATCAGACAACTACTAAGAACGAATGCAATTATTTTAGGATCATTACTCCAGATACCACAAAGACGTACAAACCAATCAGTAAGTTAAAAGGGAAAATGGAAAAGGATAGAAATTTGCTTGATGTTACAAAATGGTAATAAATTTGACTATACTAAAGCATTGTGCAAGGAGTTTAAAACTTACACTCAGTACTGAAGCTGGAACAGCCAAGATTGTCAGAGGAATATAAGCAATAGCCCTGAACATCAAGTAGGCAAAATGAATTGAAAGGCAAAAAAATCCTAATACATCGCATTCCGGTCATTTAGATATTACAACAATTTAAATTACTTTGTAGATTAAATATTACAACAATTAGCACAAAAAATGAATTCCATAGTAAAGAACTAAGCAAACAAAAATTCTTGATGCTAATTAAATTATTGAAAACAGAAAGATATTTAGGTAGGGTTCAACTGACTTACAGCGCAAGTGGACCCCAAGTTCCAAGATCATTATCAACCCATAGAAAAAAATCCTGCAGAATCTGCAAGGAAAACTTATTTTTAGCAATACACATAATGCAGCAAAATAACAACCAGGCTTATTTTAAGATGAACATTTTAACATTCGGAAATCGAGTAGAACCGAAATCCAATTGCTAAGAATTCATAACCCTGGATAATTTTGTAGTAATTTCAGCAATGGAATACATTTAGGAATATAAATTGTGTTCATATTCTAATGTCCTAAAAGTCAATAGATAGGAAGTCATACAAAAACAGTTCACAAAACGAGTAAGAAATATAATTCATTGAACTAGAACAAACACCCAAACATTCACAATTTGCCACTAGAATGTAATAACAAGAAAAAACATATTAAAAATACCAACATAACCATAGAAACAAGAAAGAACAATCAAAAGAAGAAAGAAAAAAGAAAACCAAGATGAGAAAACGCAAAATTTAAGCAAAATTATGAATAAGAAAAGAGAACAGAATACACTCAGATAAAAAAAATTGTAAATAGCTTGAAAAAGGAGCAAACCGCTTCCATGGGGAGGGTGAAACAAGCATAAACAAGAGCAGCAAGAAGAAGGACAAGAAGGAAGATCCTGAGAGCAGAACCCCATGTGAAAGCCATTGACAATCTACGGCGTCAAGGCCGACACACCTTCGTTACAAGATTTCTTTTAAAAAGAAAAAAGAATGTTAAAGGAAACAACAACGATATACAACAACCCTTTTTGCCTTGTGTTTGAAGCTTGTTTATTTCGAGGGTTTAGGCTAAAAACACACAAAAATTTCTGGGTTTTTGCCTGATTGCTTATATATTTTAATTGGTTTCTGGGATTTTATGAGGGGTATTGGAACAGTTGAGAATGATTTGGATGGATGGATAGGCTTTACCAGCTTGTAGGAAGCATCGTTTTGTTCGATTGTGGGAAATTTAAAACTATTTTGTTCCTGCAAAATTGGAATCCACACCTTGAAAACAAAATCTAACAAGATCCAAATGAATACTACTCTTAAATTTGAAGCTTGGATTTGATACTGTTAAGGGTGTATAATTCGGTTTAATTAAGTTTTAAGTTTTTTTTTTTCAATAACTTAATTGTGTTTATCAAATTTTTTTGATATTCAATTATAAAATAATTTTCTAATAATTAGTAAAAATATGTTATTTTACTATATTCTAATTCAAATAAAACATGTTACATAGAGGGATTATTGTTATCTCTAAAATTTCAGGATTCGAGCACAATATTTACACGATTGTTTTAACATTTATTATCAAATAATTAAGAGATTTTTGAACAAATACTACTATAGATGAAGCCAATATTGAACTATGAGGAAACAAGTTGGTTAACTTTAGAACAAATAAGGTCGTTAAAATTGAATAAATCATGAAATTTAAAAGAACTATAGTTTAATTTTATTAATTTTAAAATTAAAAAATCCTAAAAAATAATTAAATAAATAAAAATTGGAGGTCAATATATAATTTTATTTTGAAATTGAAAAGGTTCTACAAGACAATGAAATAACAAATTTTAAGAGAAAAACTAAATTATAATAATTTTAAAAATATTAGTGACTTAAAAATAATTAAATCATCAAAGTCGGAGGAGCAATTGTCCCTCTCACATAGGGATGGGCATAGGTCGGGTTGGGTCGGGTTTTTGGTCCGACCCGACCCGACCAAAATAAGTTTTCATCCGATCCGATATATAACTTAAAAACTCGATTCGACCCGAAAAACTAAAAAAAATATTTTTATTCAATAAAAATAGGGACTTAATTGAAAAAATAATATATAGAGGGTATTATTGTAATTATTCTTAAATATATAAGATAAAATTATATATTTTTTCGAGTCGGGTCGGGTATTTACCACCCTAAACTCGAACCCGACCCAAATATCACATTAAAAAAATTCGTCCCCAAACCAATTTTTTTTTAAAAAAATCCGACCCGATAATGTCGGGTCGAATCCCGTCGGTTTGGGTCCATGCCCATCCCTACTCTCACATATAATATAAATAATTTTAGTTAAATAAAAAAATGTTTTAATTTTATTTCAATAAATTAATTATGTTATTCCTAAATAATATGTTATTCACATATTCAAGAAACGATGTCCAGATTAAAACGTGGATAATATATTGTCTTAATTTTGGAAAACTCAAACCAAATAAACCGATTAAATTAAATATTCTTAAATAAATAAACCACTAATACATGTTTAATTAATTTAATTAAAATTTAAAATTTAAAAATCATATATGAAACACCTCAATCCAATATAAATACTTAATTTTACAATTAAAATCTTTTATGTTTTATAAATAAATGTTAGAAAGAAAAAATTATCAATTTGTTTATAAATAAAAAAACAACTATCTCATTAGTTGCACATTAATAAAATACTATCACATTAAGTAAATACAAAATAATATATGTTCAAAGATAACTTTTATCCACCTGACATTGAAGGCTCGTACTCCTGACATTCAATGTGTTCGAACCAAAACTTGCATTCAAGGTGTTCGAACCCAGAACTTTAAGGAATAACAATAATTTATTTATCATCAATTTCACTTGGTTCGTGTATCCCAGACTATTCTATATATATATATATATATATATATATCTTGTCTGATCAATGAATATCTCAATTTCCATCAAAATATAATATTAATATTAATCATAATAACTGAAAGCAAATGTAATGATTTCAAATCCAGAAGAAAAAGGAGCATTCATCCAAGTTTTGCAGTCAACAATGGGAGAAGAACAGCCCAAAACAAAGATTACACGTGAAGCATAAATAAAAATCTGTAGCTTCTGTTTGTATATGTTCCCCTTCTTCATATATACAAGCTTCTAAGAGGGGATAACTTCAATGGTAATTCATGTCGGAGAACTGAATTGCAGTTCGCTAACGCTAATTGTAAACGAGAAAAACGAAGAAAGGACGGTGAATACCTTCGTCGAATTCCTAATCGGAATGTGTCGAAGCAGAAAAATTCTCGGCAAGCTGCTTCTCCTGCTGTTTTTTCAGATACCTCTGAGCCGTCGCATTGATGATCTTGATAAAGAAGTTCATAAGCATAAGCCATACGATGGTGTTCCATATCGAAGTAAACGAGAAATCCCACTTCCCCTGCAGCGGCATTGTAGAACAGATTTGATTTAGCAGGCTAGTCGACTAAAACTCGGGATTAAAATGGATAGATTTATTGCAGGCTTAAGGGAAGTACCTTGATGTTTGAAGGAACAGGAGGCGGGGCAGCCAAGTACTTCTCTTTGACTGAATGAAGTTTTGCTGTGAGTGTGGGCAAGAAAGAACTGAATCCGGGTATGAGGCTGAGCACCCAGATCAATTCATTCTCTATCCAGTCCAGGAGTTGATTATTACAGACAGAGATTATAAATACTGTCTGCGAAAAAGGAATCGATAGATATATCTAAGAAGCTTGCGAAATCGGAATAAAAAAATTGAGCTTCATTAAGAGAAGTAGAAAGATAGGGATGTCATCTTTGTATGGTACAAGTTGATTCCACCAAAAAAGTTCAGGCATACTGGACAATGCCAATATCGAAAGAAAAACAACGAACACAGAAAGAGCATCACAATTGAGGTTCGTCTTGTATGTAAAACGCAACGAGAACATCACAATTTACAAACCTGTATGTGAGTTTTAATGATTGCCTTTCCAATCAATGTAGCAAGAAAGAACTTCCAAAATGGAATCCCAAATTGTCCACACATGATGCCAGCAAGGTCAAACAAAGGATTTGGGATCTGAACATGATTAAGTTCATCAGCAGCAGGCATACATAAGACATCAATCAAATTAGGCACAAATGGAATTTACAATCCGCAGTAAAACTTATATGATCTTCAAAATAAAACAAAATAAATAACGAGGGATGCTCGAACACAATTCAAGTTTCTATATCTTGGCCACAAAACATAATACCGCACTTCATAAATTGACGTGGAAATTTGCACATTAAATTTATCTTAGCAACACATGTTTCTAGCTTGAAAATTTTACCGGATTGATATAGATGAAGTCCTAAACAAGGAATTTTCTCTGAACAAAATGCAACAGAACATTGTTATTTTATGCCAGTGTGGTTGAAGGTCTAGGTGCGTATTTGTTCATGTGCATGTAGACAATAAAACATAGATAACAGTCAGACAACCAAATATGCACTAAAAATAAAACACCTTGTGCTGCATCCATATTTTGAATTATTCAGATTGATGTGCAACAAATGAAAAGGAAATCAGAACTGACCGAGGCGAGCACTAAAATGGTGAAGAAGTTCACGTGTTGAGAGTGGGATAACAGCCAGTGCTCGATGTGTCGCAGGCGGGTAGCTATGACTCCATTATCCTCACTTGAGGAAGAATCCAATTCTTCCAAGGCATCAATTCTATTGCCTGATACATTAGCTGGATACGGAAGAAATCAACAAAAGCTGGTTATTCTATCAGTATTGAGTGCTAGTAGGAAATCCAAATATAAGTCTTTGACAACCAAGAATTAGACAAAGAACAACCAAGGGCATGGAAAAAATGATAGAAATATTTTTATTTTGAGAAAAAAAGGGGGCAACTACAACGTTTGTGATGTACAAGTGGGGTGGTGATTCTCAGTGGTTCAGACAGTGGGAAAAAGGAGGATTTTGACGACGATGTGTGGTTCACCCCTTCTGATTTGGCCAAAGGGTCATTGATCGGCAAGGGTCTAGGTGAGAACCACCAACCCACTGTCTGAGCCACCCCACTTGTTGTACATCCAAAAACGTAACTCAAGCAAATTTGATTAATAAACAACATTTAAAACCTTAAACTTATTAATCAAAGTAAAACTTTAAACATGAAACCCCATTTTCAAAGAGCAATACAAAAGGAGGAAACAAAGGATGGGATTCATAATATGTTGAGATAAATGGGATCAAGGAGCTCCTTTGCACTGTCAATACTATACAATGTTAAGTTGCAAAGTTAGCATTATATCACTTATCAAACCCAACGAAAAAAGATTGGGGCATCTTCCAGAAATGCCCTCAGTCCAGCCTTCCATAAACAGATTCGTTGAGCAAAGCTTGTTATTGTGATAAGGTATATAGAGTAAAGATGGGGCTCCCACCTGCCCTTGAGATAAAGTAAGGAGGAAGCTCTCCAAGTGCAGTCCCAAGACCCCATAAGATAGCCTCCATCTGCACCTGAGGCAATATGCTGCTAATAGGAACCCTCGACCCATGTGATGATGAAAATAATGGGGGCCCAAACTCTCTGCAGGGTTTATCCAGCCATGAAGGACTTCTCTTCAACTGTATCGTATCATATGGAGCACTCTTCAGGTCTATTCGTCCACATTGCATTGCTTTTATAGTAAATAAGGCAATGTGAGGACCCAAATAAAGGACAAAAGTGTGCAGACCAGATCCTGGAATAAGAAAGGTGAATTAGAGAAGTATATGAATCCAATCTATTTCTTCTGGCATTCACAAAATTTCCTTTTGTATCAAAACAGTATAAAAATAAGCAGATGAGATTTCAGAGAAAATCATAGGCATATATCAAGTGTGAGTAGCAGAAAACACGGCCATACACAACAATCTTCAAAACAATCATTAAAGTGCTATTTCTAATACTCACATTATCCCAGTTTGCTAGTTTTGCAACTACATTTGGTAGAAACAGATTAAACAACCCGAGTCACTTTAATTCTTTTTTCCAAAAGAAAAGCAATAATTAGAAAGAAACCTATCTACAAGACTAGAACTACGCTACAATGCAGAATAAATTACATATTTCCACCACTTGACATCAGCATAAGTCAGCCAGTGTCGTAAGATAGAGCTTATATAATCTACAAAGCATGCTGGTATAACAGCAACAAATTATTCATTAAGCACACTCCTCCATACAACACGAAGATATTCTGAAAGCAATTTTCTTACCAAGACCAATTGAAGATGCAACGCCAAGTGTAATCCACCATAATCCAAATTGAACATACTGAGAAACTTCCTCAACATGCTGATGAAAGATATAATCAAGACATCAAGTGTTGATTATTGTTTCCATTAATCCGATATACAATAAATGATGAAAAACAAGAATGAAAAAATACTTCAGCTAAATACCGAGCCGAAGCTTACATATAAAACAAGATGTTTTAAAACAAATAATCATTAAGAGAAAGTAAGAACCAGTACGACCCCACCCCCTCCCCTAACCCCCACAGAGAAGGAAAATAAAACACAGTTAAAAGAAAAGAGAAAAAGGTAGTCTTTTTTGTCTATTACTTGATAAAATAATAGTGTAGCAGTAAATTTGTTTTACAGCTATCTATACGAGGGTTACAAATAGAGTTTTAATCCTAGCCCTAGATTGAAGCACCAAATGTAATTAATAATCCTAGCCATCTATCTTTACATCTAATAGTTAATAAATAAGACGAATAACAATAATAATAAAATCTCCTGAATCACATTTTAATCTCTCAATTGCATAGCTAAATGTAGCAGAAAATACAGAGCACTCACTCTAAACAAATAAAAACCTTTCCAACAGCATAAAGAAGTACGCTGCATATCAAAAGAAACCCATGACAAAGAACAATTGATATAATAGGTTAACCTGCAAATATGATTACCTTCTCATGAGGACCCTCAACAGTCACAAGCAAAATTCCAACAACAGCTATTAGAGTGCTTGAAAGCATAAGCCAACCACCCTTTTCCAAGAGATACGATACCGATTGTACGACATATTGAATGATAGCCAGAATGAAAAGCTTCAATGTTTTGAAGGGCTGCGTTGTCAATGTTAAATTTTCTAACTCCACCCGATGTCTCTCACGCATATCTGCAAAATTTAATAAGTCTATCAGTTATGGATCTTGAAAACTCCAGTGACTCGAAATTTTCTCTTTATACAGAAAATCAAAACAAAGCTAATATTATCCAAGCATGTCTACATAAGATAAGCAGCAATATTCTCCTCTAATTCACTAATCTATGATGTATAAAGTATCCAATTGATTATTACCTTTTTGTGTCTTCAAATCCAAAATCTACTTTATTTTTAATCTTTTTTCATACATTCAGCTCAATTTAATCGATCTAAATTCTAAAAATCAACCAGCATACTTTTCAGAGGAACTCGGCTAACATAATAGCTGATTTTTACAATAATTACAACAGTTTCGATATCTAGAAAAACCCAACTTCATTGAAGCTCGTGAAATAGAATCAAATGAGGGGAAACCCCTCAACGACACAAAATAATAAAAATAAATCGTAACGAAATTCAATTTTTCAGGAAGGGAAAAAGAAAACTTGCCTTCGATCGACGATTCCATTTCTTGAGCAGAAGAAGTCGCGCCTTTGCCTGAACCCATCTTCAAACTTACATACTACGATTCAACATTTTTTTTTCAATTTCTTCAATAAATTTGAAACTTTCCGTCACTGTCTAACGCTTTCTCGGTGATAAGAAAAGCTATGACTGGGCAAGAATCTGGCGGCTGTAATCGTATAATTAGGCAAAGGAGCCAACTATTTTTCCTTTTCAGTCACCAACGATAAATAACAAAGAATCTTCATTCGTGTAGTAATAGTGCAGATCTCTTAGATAAGATGAGGAAGAAGAAATCAAACGCTGAGGATAAAGCTGCTTTTGCGTGCGTATCTCTTCTGCAATTTAATCAGAACGCACTTTGAATTTTTTTATAATTTGATCCATTTCATAGGCCGAAAGTTACAGGTCAAATTTTGTAATTAGTCCATATATTCTACTCATCTTGTAGTACTAGTCCTTTTATTTTAATTTTGGTAGGTTTAATTTTGGGTAAACTAATTTTATTTCATCCAACTATTATATCTTTTTTATTTTGATCATCAAACAATTTTTTTCAAAAAATCTAATATTTGTTCAGAATCTTCCTCCATCATTGATAGTGAACACAAATATATTGCAGATGCGACCAGGGACGGAGTTATGTTGGGACTCAAAGGGGTCGACTCCTGTAAAAATCTATATGTTTAATAAATTTTAATTTAATAGTATTTTGATTCGTGTAAAGTAAATATTCAAATTTAAAAAAATACAAAAAATTATTAAATATTACTTAATTTAATTATTATTTTTAATAAAATAATTATAAATTAAGTATAGTTTTGTCAAAAATAAAATAAAATTTTAATTAATGATAAATTTTAAATAAATCTTTATATATTTTAATATTTACATAATAATAACAAATTTGCTTATATTGTGTTTCGGTACGTTGTTTTAGTGGTACGTTGCAGTATTCGACATGAGGTGTTGACTTTTCCACCGAACATAGTTCAGTTCGGTTTAATTTTTTTTAAATATTCAGTTTTGTTAACAGTTAAAGAAAAAAATCGGTTAATGAAATTTGGATAATTTTGAATTAACCGTTTGAACATCCCTATTTATAATTTGTTATTTTTATTTATTTTTTTATATAAAAAAATAATTTTATTCCTTTTTCTAGCGGATTCAATCTTCGATTCAACCATTGATATTTTTCTCGAATTTATAATTTCAAAACGTATTTCTATAATTTTAAAAATAAATTATAATTTTTTATTTTTAAAAAGTATTAAAGAATAGAATTATTGTTTAAAAATATTAAAAATACTGAAAACAATTCAGTTACAATTTAAGAACCGAATGAAATATTATTTATTAATTTCATATATCTCTCGATGACAGTTAACAGTGTGATGCTAATTTTATAACAAAATAAAAATTTAATATAACATCTTTAATTGTTGTAATTAAGTAGATAAGTTAAATTAATTATTATTATTTGGGAGAGAACGAAGAGTGCTGTAAATCATTAATATTTAGATTTTATGATTATCTTTTTTAACAACATTATCTCTAAGATACGATTTTAAATCTCTCATTCGAAAATATATTGTCTTATCATTACACTTAATACTTATTGATAACCGATTTTCTTCCGGAACAACTCGGGTCACAGTTTTAGTGGGTGAATCTCTCGGTAAAGATTTTTTACATACACAATAACTCGAATACAAGATATGTTTAAACAATATCAATCTACTTACTACTTGAACCAACACGTCGGTATTAATAACATATTTTGAACATAATTAATAAACATAGAATATTTTGGAGTATATATATATATAATCGGATTTAATTAGTATTATTTACTGTACAAAAGATCAAAAGTAAAAAAGTAAAAAAAAAAGATGGTATGGTGAATTGGGTTGACTTGCACCAGCTTACAGCTTTGACTTACTCTTGCACTTCTGGCTTTGGAGCTTGAGGGCTAAAACCTCTATGGTGAATTGGCATTCGGATGTAACAACCGCATGCTTCTTGAAAACCTTCAGGAACGTAACTCTGCCCGGAATCCGTGTTCGAGTATCCACGACCAGTTCACCGTCCAATACATCGTCGATCAAAGCTCTTATATTGGACGCCATCTCATCAAGCTGGAGTACAAGCCTGCTGGAAAACGTAGCTGAGCCCCTGGCGGGTATGTTACCCGGCGGGATGTCGGCCTCCCCGAATTGATCACCCCGATACGAAAGGACACTCTTTCCCTGGCCGTGCTTGAAGCTGGCATGGTTTGGGTTTTCAACAAGGAGTTGGAGGTCGAGCGTGACGTTCAGTTGAATATTAACAACAGGGAACGAGATGCGAGGGGAGACTCCATCAAGTGCTGCTGAAACGAGCTTGGTTTTAGGCTGCTTGGCTTTGAAGACAGTGAAGGCGAGGATGAGAACGACGATGGATATCAGCAGCAGTACGCCGAGAAGCATGCTGGCAACAGTTAGACACCGGCTTTTGTGGGCTCTTCGCCTCTGTTTCGTCACGGAGACTTGTTCGATTCCTTCCATGTCATTCTGAGTTCGGTGGTAAAGAAAGGGTCCAAGTATGGTAAAGTACCAAGATTCATGACATTAATATGCAAGTAGTTGGCTGGTATTAGCTAACAGTTGGGAAGAGAGGGCTTTAAATGTCTGAAGCCGACAGCTGAGACTTTCCTATGCAGCGTGATACTTGCGGCATTACACTATTGTTCTGTAGGTCTATTCGGTTTTATGTTTTCTCGCTTGTTTCGCTCATCGAGTGTGCGACCATTTAATGTACGGTCCGAGTTTTCAACCAAACAATCTTATCCGCCGTCCTTGGAATTTGTAACAGAGACCTTAATGCCAAACCACATAACTGAAATTTCAATGCATTTGGCTAAATGGTGCATCATAGACAACAAATATGTTCAAACTTTTCCAAAATACTACAGCGATCATTTTACGTGACAAGGCACAATGCATTAAAATTCACTCTTATTCGACTGAAACATGACCATTTTGTAAACATGATCCTAGACAATGCGCGTAAACTCCATCTTCATAGGATATTTTCCTCACTTGGCGTATTTGGTGAACCAATCCAGCATATCTTTATGAGCTTCGTTAGCGCAGGCCGCAGCTGTTGGATCATTGGCATCGTATCTGACCGTCCATCCATGAGAACATTTAGGAAATATCTTCACAAAGCTATCAACCTGCAAGAAAAAGATATTATTTGTAAGAAAGTGAATTCAACATTCGGGGAAGAACAGTTTAGCTGCGGATCAAAAGGGAGAGAAACATAAACTCTGGTGTATATATATATGTAAAGAAACTCGAATCCTATCTAAAGAAATAAATTGTCAGGTGAGGCATATAATATGGTATATAAGTCGCAATCAAATACAAAATATAAGCAATGTAGGGCTTTCAACACCTCATCTCGAAAGAACACATCCTACAGACACAGCTACTCGAGGTCGGGTCCTCTAGGGAGAACGACATTCTCTTTTATCATTGAGGCCACTCAATGGGTTTTAGGCTCATTCAGCAAGGATAACAGATGGAAAATAATATGAAACCAGTCATTGGGCCTTCTTACCTCATTGGCTTTTAAGATTTCACCAAACTGTTCTACAAGTTCTGGGGGAGACATTTTGTCAATCTCAGCTCCCAATATTGCAATAGGCACCTTCAAGCCTGCAAAAATTCGGCTCACAATCAATAGTAATAAGGTATATTTGCACCAACTATGGATACCTCAAAAAAACTGCTGAAAATGTTCCCTTAAAGAATCATCTAATAACATCAACCAAACCCGAAATTTCAATTTTTGCAAAAACATCATCAAAAACAGTTTCATACTACATATTATGGAAAAAGCACTGTTATACAGCATGGAAGAAGCCAAGTTTTCTCATCTCTAGACAGTTCCATGATTTTGATAAAGGACGCTTTTAGAAGCTACTCAGGTAACATAGCCCTCCTGAAAATGCGCCGAATCCTAATGTAAAAACCTAAGCAGAACATTCCCAGAGAGTTCAACCGGCAGTTTTGCCCCAAAGCTTAGGAGACCTCACCTTGAAGTCGTTAGATCCAAACCAATTTCTAATTAAACGAACATATCATTAACTGAAATATTAAAATATTCATATATACCATACCCTTGATATCATCCACTGTCACAAAGGAAGGATGTAACATCACAACTGCTTGGATAAGGGCAACCTTTGACAGTTCAACCACAACTTTAGCTGAGGTAATCAAAAGACTTAGTATTAGCCATCTAGTAAGTGATTGCAGAACTAAATGAAAAGATAATATATTGGAGTCATAAGTGGTGAAGACTGCAGAACATGCTTGTGAAAACACAGTAAATATCTGCTAAGACTGCTATGGTGGGGAAAAAAAATGAAAACTCACCACCCCAACAGAACCCAGCAGCTCCAATTGATGAAACCCCTTTACTTTTCAAAGCATCAATTATTGGCTTTGCATCCTCAAAACCTTTAACCTAAACAAGCAATTAAATGCATAAGGGCATAAAACTTCAAATGTGATGCATCATTCAGTGTTAGATACTTTTGTAGTTAAAAAAGGCCACTAACAGGTTCATGATCCTTTATCCAAGCAGTTAAAGGTCTATCAGGCTTGTCACTGAAGTAGGGATCTCCATAAAAGAAGTCGGGAACCACCACATAGAACCCAGCAGCGGCAACCTTGTCTGCGAGCTTTCCATACAATCAAAAGCAACTGAAATTAGGTTCAAGAAGTTGGTTCACTTCAACTCAAGAAGCTAGATAGAACAAACCGTGTAATTAAATTTAACTGGCTTCACACAACCACCATATCACAATCTCAAACAAATTAAAAGATAAAGGAAGGGCATAGCATTTGCAGTCATTCTGGATTAAGTACACTAGTTTGTCAATGGTTCAAGGCACACTCTAGGCGCCAGAATCCTTATATTGCCCAAGTTGTAAGAAGATTAAAAGGAAAAAAAAGCATTTGCTCTAGTGATGCAAGACTATGTATATGTGCACGTTTTTGTAAGTGTGTATATACACATGAAATAAGCTGAAGATATATAATTAAGTTAACAAACTCTAAAAAGGTAGTATATTTCGTTCTATAAAACATGCAAAATTTGATTTGCGGCGTTTTAGTTATATTCAGGAATTAGGAAGACATACCCAACATTAGTTGCTTTTGAGATTTAGGCTTATTTGATACTTGTTTTATATATGAGTGTTTTAACTTTTAAGTTGTTCATTCCTTTCGCTCTTCGCTTATTATCTAGCCCCATTACTAGCTTTTAATTTGAAATAAAAGTTTCTAGCATCTCAATATGTGTGTGTATGACAGTACGAGACCTGAAAAATAACATCTTCATTGTTCAGAGTTAAAACTCAACTTGCTAATAGTCATAGAAGAGATAATAAAAGTAAAACAACAGCAAAAACCGGTGTCACTATAGCCTTTATCACAACTATTCTTACCTCAAGTTTGGAGCCTCATATCCTGCAGAGCCATGGGAAGAACAGCGAAATTAGCAAAAACGATGGCAACGATTATCATCATCCAGGATAAAACAACTACATATACTTCATGGAACAGAGATAAATATTTGCATAAACAAATGCTCCATGAAAGCAAATAAATAGTAAACAAATTTCTATTCAGCTGCCCCTTATTGTTTTAGTTGTATTTAAGTTATATTCTTAGCAAAACAATGAAATCAATGTGTTTGACAAAGTTTACTTATGTTTCTATGGTTTATACAAAAAAATATTAAATTAATTATTCAAAACAATGGAATATGTTTTTGTTCTATAGGTCGTTTTTTATGAGTTCTCGCTCATGGCCCCAAAAAATATACGAGACGAATCTGATTCCATTATCGATGTAGTATGCTTATATCCATAATCAACACAAAACTCAGATATAATGTGTTAAAAAACATCCATAACCAATACAAAATTCCGATTACCCCAGCATCCTTCTGATCTAGTTTCAAACCCAAGGTTGCTTAAAATCCATAATCAAATATAAAACGCAGACACAATATGTTCAAAAAATGAAGCAAAAGAAACGCAGAAAACGGGTGAAAACAAAAGAACCCGAAGCTCTTCGATTCCTAAACAAACCCATTTCCTCATAAATTTCAGACAAAACAAAATCACAAAAAAAGCATCTTAAAGTCCGAGCAAAAATAAGTGAAGGGCTTGTGGATAAAGTACCGAAAACATCAGAGACAAGAAGAACAGCAAGCTTGGATTGGAGGGATCCAGAGACATAAGTGTTGAAGCCGGCAAGGTTCTCGACGTGACCAGCTCCACTTGCAGCGTCGAGTGTTGGTGGGCTTGAACAGCACTGAGGGCCTGACATGGTTCTTTTTTCTCTTCTCTTCTTCTTCTTCTAACTTAAAAGCTTTTCACTAGCTTCGTTTGAAGCACAGTATAAATAAAACGAACACCAAGAGGTTCTAAAAGTAGATACGAGAGGTTTCCAGGGGAAAATGAAAAATCTGGGCTCTTGCCAATGTGAGGCCTTGGAGTTTGGGATATGTAGTGGGTAAAGAAAAAAAAATATTTAGGGTAGGTATAAATTATATAAAAAATGTTTTTAAAATTTAAAAAGATAAATTACACATTTAATATTTAAACTATTAGTATCTAAACTTTATTTTTTAAAACTATACTTAACATTTATTTTTTTTATTTTAATATCAGTAGTTAAAAACTTAACGGATAGACTCATCGATCGTCGTGTCTACAGTCGTCGGTCATTGCATCCATCAACCGATAAAGCCCAAACTTTTCAGTCCGCATCTTTTCGATCCATTTAGCATGATTCTAACATCAGTGTCTCCGAAAAACGCCTCAATATCCCAAAATCAACGATGGATTCTTCGAATTTTCATCCTCTAATCTCCATCGCAGTCGTCCGATGGGCCTTAAACTAGACTACGTTGGTCGACTCGTCATTCTCTCGTGATTCACTGTTGGGTTTGGTGATCCGTTCACCGGAGATATGCCCCGTCAGCCTGTCTGTTAAGATTTTAACGATGGTACTAAAATGAAGCAAAAACTAAACGTTCGTTATGATTTTGAAAAAATTGAAACTTTAAGTACTAAAACAGATCAAAATTGATAATTTAGGTACTAAATGCATAATTTACCCTTTTAAAAATAAATTTCTTTTTAAAATATAAAATATTTTTATATTTTTAAATATTGTGGTAACGTGTCACATACAATAATTTTACGATAAACTACTTATTTGTGACACTCATCTATTATATATTTTTTGTTTTAGTCACTCAACTATTATGTTTTAAAAAAATCATACTTAATGTTATATTTTAGTTCTATTTTGGTCATCCTCTGGTATTTTTTAATGTTGACGTTGATGTGAAATTTTTAATTATTTTTATGTTGATGTGGGATTATCATCTAATAATACATTAATATTAACGTTAATTTTTCAACGATAGATAATCAAAATAGAACTAAAATATATTGTTAAGTATGACTTTAAAAGACATAATAGATAAGTGACAAAAGAACTATAAAATAAATATGTAACCAGATAAATATTTTACCCATAATTTTATTAATCATTTCATTTTACTTTAATGACATCACAAAATTAAATTAATAAAATATATAATAAATGTCAACCTTGTAAATTTGAATTTTGATGTTATAAATAAAATAAAATAAGTTAAAATCATATTTAAAATGTATCTTTATTGTATAGGATTTAAATTAATATTAAAAAGTCAAATGTAAATGATTAAAAAAAAGTTAAAGTATCATCACAAAAACAGTGACTTTAAATTTTAGGGTAAAGTATATAAAAAATACTTGAACTTTTAGGGTGCTTACATTTTGGTCACTTAAGTTTTGAAACTTACAATATAGTCGTCGAACTCTTAGTTTATTTTTATTTTTATCTATGTCGTTATCTCCGGTTAGTTTTTACTGACATGACACTTAACTCCCATTAATCCATCGATTCTTCTTTTCCATGTTATTTCTTCTTCTTTCTTCTTCTTCTTATTATTATTCTTCTCCTCGTCCTCCTAAAATCCTACATCTCCGAACACTACTCAAACGAGACTTCACTCTCACACTCAAATCTATCAACCAACTCAGTAAACGTAAGCTTGAAATGGCATCTATAATGGCAGAGAAAGCTAGAGAAGTGAATGAGTTTGAAGATTCAAGCTCGAAAATGATTTCTAATGATAGATATATCGAAGAGCTTAGGAAAGAAATTGAGGCAGCTAATGAGGAACATGTTCTGGTTGAACTGGCCAAGATCGAGGCATTAAAAGAAGCTGCAGATATCAAAGCTCAAAAAGATAAGAAGCTGGTGAATTTTCGTATATGAATGAGGAAATGAATAAGAAGATGGATAACACGATCGAAGAGATCGATCGGACTGAAGAGTTGTAACAAAGAGTGAATGTCACTTTGTCTGATATTAATCTCTTACAATATGAACTCAAGCAAGTTAATGATAAAAAATGTTATAATATCGGAACGATGATTATCGGCAAATAAATAAACATGATTAAAAAGGAAAAACAAAGAACACCAGGATTTACGTAGAAAACCCAAAAGGGAAAAACCACGGGCAGAGGAGAAGAATTTTACTAATATGAAGGAAGAAAATACAAGGGATTTTGGTGAAAGAAAAGAACTTGATATCTAACTCTGACTCTTAGTATCTATTTATAGGGATATGTACTTGATTACAAAAGAAAACTAAATAAAGTAGAAATCTACTTTAATAAAGTTTTCTACTTTTAACCAAACTTGGTTTCATACTTTCCCAATAGTTATATATTAATTAATTTGTGCCACTTTGAATTCGAGTCAAACTCTAACAAATCTCCACCTTGACACAAATTTTGAAAGTGCAAAGGTTTCGAGACAAAACACCCAAATTCGATGTGACACCCAAACTCAACAAAAAACAATTATTCACTTCAACGAACAAGTTCTCCACCTCTTCCACAGCACCCCTTAAAGGGGTAATCTTCAATAGCGGACACCGATCAAGTCCAAGTTTTTTCTAGGCTTGGATTTAGTCTTCACATCGACATGGTTATCCTAAATGTCAACTTTGCTCACAAATGTTTCACCACGAGCAATATCATGCACAACACGATCCCGATCATCAATGATAGTTCTATCTTTAAATTCATTATGTTCACGAAATTAAACTTTTTTCTGCTTCACATAACTATTCTGCCATAGTTATTTTGTTCAACGACATTATTTGACATTGTGGATGAAACACCAACTGCTTTATCTAAAACTGTTGAACCCTGTAGAACATAAAACTTGATAGTCTTTCTCTGCCCTTTCAACACAACAAGAAAGTCCTTGCAAATTTTCATAGCTCCACATTCATTGGATAATTTACACCCATTTGAATCTAGAGTACCTAACGAAATTAGATTTCTACTCAAATCTAGAACATGTCTTACATTACCAAGTGTTCGAACAATCCCATCGATCATCTTAATCTTGATTGTGCCAATACATGCAACTTTACAAGGGACATTATTTCCCAAAAATACATCACATGTATAAACAGCTTCATACGTCACAAACCAGTCACGATTAGGACTCATATGAAAACTACTACCAGAGTCAAGTATTTACTCATCACTTAATGTAAAGTTGTCGTTAGCCGCAATTAGGAGTTCTCCATCATCGTACTCCTCTACTATACCGACCTCACCAGATTTCCTAAAGTTATGCTTTTCAGCTTCTCTTTTGATTTTATTTTGCAACTCGTAACACTCCGATTTAACATGACCTTTCTTTTTACAATAATGACAAGTTTTACATTGGTTGGAAGATTTTGATCTACCTCTTCCAATATTATCAGAAGAAACGCTCGCATTTTCTCCCACTGTCTGAGCTAGCTGATTCATGCATCATAGACAATCCGTCTGGGGCTCAAAACCATATAAAAGATGTTTTATCTTGTCAAACGAGTACAACCCATTGTAAACTTCTTCAAGAGTGAGTGTTTCATGACTGAACAAGATTGTATCTCTGAAAGATGAGTATGAAAGAGCCATCAAACATAAGAGGATCAGTCTTAAGTCTTCTTGATCATACTTTATCTCTAAAGTCTCTAGATCAGAGGTGGTTTCCTTGAATGTGGTTAGGTGCTCTTCAAGAGATAAACATTCCGTCAACTTGAGCGAATAAAGATGTTGATCTAGGTGCAACTTGCTTGTCAATGATTTTTGCATGCAAAGTTGCTCTAATTTCGCCCACAAAGATGTAGTTATTTTTTATTTCAATACAACCTATAAAATTTGATTTGATAAGTGCAAACGAACCTGAGAAATAGCTTTATGATCCTTATGTTTTTCCTCATTCGTCCATTGTGTTATCGGTTTCTCATCAAATCATTCTATTATATCGTCGAGATCTAACTGTGCAAGAACATCACGAATCTTCACCTGCCATAGAGAGAACCTGGTGTTTCGATCCAACAACGAAATATCATACTTCATTGTTTCCATAATCTTTAACCCGAAGCTCTGATACCAGTTTGTTATAATATCATAAAGATGATTATCAACAAATAAATCTATCGAAAATGAAAAAAACAAAGAATACCAGGATTTACGTGGAAAAGCCAAAAACGAAAAACCACGGGCAGAAGAAAATAATTTTACTAATATGAAGGATGAAAATACAATAAGATTTTGGTGAAAGAAAAGAACTTGATGTCTAACCCTGACCCTTAATATCTATTTATAGGAATATATACTTGATTACAAAGGAAAACTAAATAAAGTATAAATGTACTTTAATAAAGTTTTTTACTTTTAACCAAACTTGGTTTCCTACTTTATCAATATTTATAAATTACTTAATTTGTGGCACTTTGAATTCGAGTCAAACTCTAACAAAAACCTTCACCAGAGTCAATCAATAAGGAGTTGTTGGAAGCTAAGAACGAATCGGCTTCAATTAGAGAATAGGGTTTTAGGTATATATAACCAATCGATGTTATCCGAAATGAGTTGAAATGTGTTACTAAAGAAACAAAAAGTGAAAAAAAAACAGAAGAAATGTCAGATTTGAGAGTTAAAAGTCTAAACTTAAAGCTCTTAAGAGCCAAATCAAAGTTGGAAGTAGTGACAACAACAGAAGGAAAGGCTAAATCAATTGCGACCAATCTTTCCTTTACACCTGAACGGTTAAAAACTGAAGTTGAAGAGTCAAAGAAATAAAGGCTCTTATAACATAATATATCATGAAAACTGAAGAAGAAATCCGTAAAATAAAGTTCGAAATAGACTCAATCGAGGGAAAACTGTAGGCAGCTGTAGAGGAACTTGAAGCAATCAAGTTAGCGGAGACAT